GATCAAACCCAAATCCAGTGTCTATGCCTGCTAGATATTACTTTCTACTGAGCTAAATTCCCCAGACCCCAACTCAGAATCCTTAACACAGAATTAAATAACTATTATTTCAGTCATTCACTCATTCATTCATTCAACAAATACCCATTTTGTACCATATTCCAGAATTCAACATAAAACAATGTTGTTTAAAAGAATGAAAATCCCAACCGTTCTATTTTCACCAATAAAGACGTGTGAGCCAGGTGCTGAGATGAAAACTGTTAGCTCAGAGAGGCAAGAGAGAGCACCCAGCTGACCTTCCTTCTCAGCTCAGGTCTGGATGAAAAAAAAAAAAAAAAAAGGCTCACTAGCACAAAGTCCCAAAAGCCAGGATGCTTAGGAGCTGAAGCCTAAGCTAAAGCTCGAGCTTGAGTTTAAAGCTCTTTCTTCTTCTCCATGCTGTCTTAAACATCCCTCAACTCAAAGTCCCTCCTACTCTTTAATCCCTATCAGCTGGTTTCTTGCTCTGCCTCTTGACCTAGGGTTAACTTTATTAAATCCTGTGTATAGAAAGCTCTTGGATTAAAGGTGTCTGATGGGCTCAACCACACCAAAGAAACAGGGTTTTATAGTTCACAATTTTGGGGTTCAAAATGGGATCAAATATCCTATAGAAAAACAAGATGAACCCAGCATCTGCCCTCACCCAGATTACACACTCTAAGACAGAGCTGAAACAATAACTACAATGTACATGATGTCGTATGAGAATGAGAAGTGTTTTATATATCTGATTTAGGATTTCATGATTCCATGCTAAAAGCTTAAGACATGAAGAAATTTCCAATGTTCCCTACAGAGATTCCCCCTCACATTAATTATTTATGAAGATATGCACTGACATTTGTACAGAGTAAGCCTTTAGACACTTGAACAGTTCAGTGAGTACCAAAGCAATGTGAATAAATTTAAACTCACTGAAAACAGATAATGTTCTAGTTGGGCATAGCGGTGCTGTACTTTAGTCTCAGCATGTGGGAGGCAGAGACAAGGGAACTCTGTGAATTCCAGGCCATCCTGGTCTACACAGAATTTCAGGACAGCCAAGGCTACACAGAGAGACTCTGTCTCAACAGAGGGGATGAGGGAGGAGAAATACATGATATCATCAAGAAAAAAATTTGGATGAGGATGTAGGGGGAAGGGAAACCTTTATACATTGCTGGTGGGGGTGTAAATTAGTCCAGCCTATACTACAGAAATCACTATAGAGTTTCAAAAAAAAAAAAACTGAAAAAGTACTACTGTCTGATCCAAGTACCACTCCTGGATGCATAACTTTAGAATTCTAGATCAGAATATCAGATAGACACCTGTCCTGGTTAGGTTTTTCTTTTCTTTCTTTCTTTCTTTCTTTCTTTCTTTCTTTCTTTCTTTCTTTCTTCTTTCTCTCTCTCTCTTTCTTTCTTTTTGTCAAATTTATCTGAGCCAGGGTTATCTGGGAGGAAGGAACTTTAATTGAAAAAACAACTCCATTAGAATGACCCACAGGCAAGCCTGTGTAGCTTTTTCTTAATTGGTGATTAGGATGAAAGGGCCTAGTCCATTGCTGAGTGGTGCCGTAGGCAGGTGGTCCCCAGTGATATAGGAAAGAAGGATGAGCAACCCACGTAGAGCAAGCCAGTAAGCATTGTTTCTCCACCATCTTTGACTCAGTTGCTAATACCATGTTCCTGTCCTAATTCTTTGATGGAGTGTGACCTGGGCTGTGTAAGTCACATAAACTCTTTCCTCATAAACACTAGTATTTTATGACAGTCATAGAAGGCAAACTTGACACCTACACATTCACATTTATTCACAACAACCAAGATATGAATCTAGCCCAAATGTCCATCAATGGGCAGATGGATCAAATAAAAACAACAGAGTTTTACTCAACTATAAAGAATGAAGTGATGTCACTGTGGAAAAATACATAGAAGTGAAATCAGCATCCTAAAAGAAACATGACAGACTCTAAAAGACAATATATATATATATATATATATATATATATATATATATATATATATATTTTTTTTTTTTTTTTTTTTTCCTACGTGGGATTTAGGATGGTAAGAGAGACGTCAAGGTTAAAAAGAGACTATTCTGGAATTGGAAGGGGATAAAAATCAAGGAGGCTTGTCAAAAAACGATTGGTTGGTGCTGACCTAGGGGAAGGCGAGGGGAAGGGGAGAAGGAGTCCACTTCATGGCGCGTCCAAGTAGCAAAGTATGCCCAGGTAACAAAGTGCCCAGGTCATTTTGGCTAGTTAAGCAAAGGTTTCTAACTACCCTTTAATTTGATTGGTTGAGGGCTTGGGAACTTTTCAAGGCAGTTACTAGATTATTTTTTTCTGATTTTCAGGGAGGTTACTGAAGGTTATTTTCAGGGAGGTTATTGTATCTCATTTCCACGGACTATAGTTCCATGTCATGAGAAATAGAAACATGATCTCAGCAACTGTGGGAACATTACCAGGAAATAGAAACTCAGGCCTACAGCATCTTATAAAGCCTGTCATGGCAGCACAGCTGCTGCCATGAAGCTGCTGGGGTCTTCAGTTATAACTAACTACGTGTTACCTTCTTGCTGGAGACAGCTGTCAAAGGTTTGACTTACGAAGCAGATTACTGAACTGCTGAAGTTTCGAGTCTCTTGGGTGGTCCCCGATGCCACCTTCCTCCTCCCTCCCGTGTGTGTGTGTCCTGACGAAGAATCACACAGTACATGGGCCGCGCTGCACTGCTCCCAGCATGCCTAAGCCCAATTCCTTCACTATTCTCAGGAACTGATAACGTTTGGGTTGGTCCTCAGAAGCACTTTTTAAAACCTCTCCTGTAAACTCCTTCCCTAACCCAGTCATTGCTGCTGCACTTAGTACATCTCTCCTGGGGGGTGGGCTGCAGCTAGTTGTAAACCTCTTCAGTAAACGCTGGGGAGAGGATCGGGCGGCCTGTCATTTGGAGTTTCTTCCTTGAATCCCTGCAGAACGCGGCCACTTTGGATAGCATCTGCCCTGAGGCACCCCCCTCGCGCTGGCCTGGGCATGCTTGCTGACTGGACTTTTGCCACAAGGGTGCGCCCTTGAGCGCGATGGCGGCGAGGCCGTGGGGCGAACTGACTGACAGGCCGTGCGGGGATCTGTTTTGATCTTTGACGCCGAAGCTCTGGCTGGCCTCCATTTCGTCACTCCCCGACCTCAGCCTCCAGAGGGCGGGGCCTTGAGGCCCGCGTCAATTCCCGGGCCTCAAATAGGAAGTTAGGACCGCACTGAGGCAGGGCCCAATCGCAGAGCAGTAGGTGACTCCGCCTCGCGAAAGCCGCGGCTCCGAGCGTCTCCACCCTCCTAGCCACGCCCCGACGAGCTGCGCGTGCGCAGGCACGCCCCAGGCTGCCACCCGGGGGCGGGGCGCTGAGCTCCCGAGGAGGGCGCGCCGCGGGGCGTCACGTGACGGCCTCCGCCCAGCCAATGGGCAGTCGCAACGCAGGATTTCGAATGTGGCGGCGGTAGTTCTGGCCTGGGCGGCGGAGCGGGAGGCCGGACCAGCTGCCTGCAAGCGAGCGGCCGAGGTGCTGGGCGATCCGGGTGGTGGGCCCCGGGGGTCCGACGGGACGGGTGGCGGGCCCCGGGGTATGGGTCGGACGAGGCCTTCGGCTCGCGGGCGCGCACGCCGCAGTCTCCGGGGTGTTCGCTCTGGCACACCGTATGCTGCCTTAGCTTGCTCAGTCGTGGCAGCAGGTAGGGCTTTGCTTTTCAAGTTTCGGATAGGGGCTAGAGACGCGGCTCGCGGACTGACTCTTGCCTAGCGCGCACAAGGCCCTGTTTCAATCCCCTGCGCGCGCGCTGGCTCGCACACAGAAGCTGTGCTCTGTAGGTCACACAGATACCTCCCGTGCAAACTTTAAAAATTTGATGGTGATAGGTTGGCTGTCTTACACAACCCATTCGTTCTTTTAAAATAGATTTCTTGTTTTGGACTGCTTCCTCCCAATCTATCGTTCATACATTGGTGGAAATAAAGTACTTAGATGAGATCTACAGTACCTATTTAAGGCCCAGATATGCATGGAGGAACTTGAGTCCTGGAGAAAATGCTTAGGAGGAGATAAATGAACATAGTCCTCTGTGCTGAAAATTATACGCACACCTTGTGGTGTCAACAGGTTACAATTTTAGGATCTGGAAGTTGTAATCTAAGATACAAGCTTAATGAAAAGTAGCCCAGCGTGGTGAAGTTTGTCTCTTTTCTGTGACGCACACTGGTGTTTTAATATATGTTTTCTTTGCCCCCAAATTACTAGAGAAAAGCTGCCAAACAGGAATCCAGATATACATATAAATTGCTTCTGAACTAATACTGTAATCCCAAACACTAAAGGTTGGCCGTACACATTGTAAGAAAAGTAAGCCATTGTGTAGCTCAAACGTGTGGTCCCAGCTACTCAGGAGGCTGAGGCAGGAGGGACATCAGAGCTCTTAAGTTCAAAACTGGACTGGGAAGAACAGCAGTATCATAAGCCGTCTCCATCGTGCCCAGGATGTTGTACACCTCCAGTGAGGATTCACTGTGAAATGAATAGTTGATACTTTCTGGAATCATTTAATACTTTCCTATGAAATGGTAGAAAATAAGATTATGGCAGAAACATGACACTTTGTAGGGTTTTCTTAAAATGGCTTGATTCTAATGTCTGTTTTTGTTGATTTGTTTTTCAGATGAGTTTTACTATGTAGCCCAAACTCAAATTTATGATCTATCTGACTTAGCCTTCTTAGTAGCTTCGATTATTCCACAACACCTGACAGTAATATTTTAAAGCTGAGAAAAATCAAAATTATTGCCTTTTTGGAGGTAAGTTTACAAATTAATCTTTGCTTAATCACTTCTTTTTTGAACAACGTGTTTTCATTCTTAAATTTTATATTTGAAAATATCTGAGAATTTTTTTTTTGTTATAATTCACAGACAAAGATGGTTAAGGAAAGGTGTCAGAAAAAGTCCTTTCAAGATAGTCTTGAAGACATTAAGCAGCAGATAAAAGAAAAAAGGAATAAAACCTTGACAGAGGTTGGCAAACGGAAGTCCTTTATTGTTGCACCCTGCCGAGTACCCAGTAAGAGATTTTTGTGTTGTCTTCTATAGCATTTGTGTGTGGAGGGGGCCAGGGTGTTGCTAGAGCAGTTCTGGAGCCCTGCTATTACTCTCTTTTTCCCCTACAAAGGATCTGGTACTGAACTTGGAACTAGTCTTGCAACCAGCTAAGCCTCAGAGATCCTCCTGTCTCCACACACCCTCAATACCTTACCTTCCTTCCCACTCCCACACACAGTGATGGTGTTACCAGTGTGTGGGACCACAGCTGGCTCTTTATATGGACTCTGGGGATTTGAATTCTGTGCCTCATTGATTTCTGAGCAAGTACTCTTATCCATTGAGTTTCACCTTCTAGGTTTAAGTTTAATAACTGAATTTTTAATTTATAGCTAACACTTCTACACTACTGAAAAGTTACCAAGATAACAACAGGTTGCTAGTTTTGGCTTTGGAAAATGAAAAATCCAAAGTGAGAGAAGCCCAGGACATCATCCTAGAGCTGAGAAGAGAATGTTACTACCTTGCGTGTCAGCTGTATACATTGAAAGAGAGGTTAACTTCCCAAAAAAGTGAAGAAGCTGCTCAGGTATGTTCTTTACAAAACCTGTGTAGTTTTGATGTATGCAGTACAGCGTCCTAAAACTTTTAGATATAGAAAGTATTCTAAGTGCTATTTGGAGAGTCCATCACACTTAGGGTAGGCCAGAACTCAGTCTGAAGCTCACCTAGGCCTCACACTGATTTTTCTCCCGCCTCAGCAGCAGCGTACTGACATGAATGTACTGCTGCGCCCAGGTCTTCCTCCTTAACTGCTGCTCATCTCAGTGTTCACCAGTGTTCACCAGCAGTTAAAGCAGTGAAGCAGCCAAACCCACTCCCTTAGTGCCATCGCTCCGGTCCATATTCAGTCTTTGCACATGGTTGGAATTTTTTTTTCCAGGTGTTCTCACCTGCTAAATGTTGAGAAAGCTCCATGGCAGGTTGCTTAACTCTAAATATGCCATAGAGCCCTTGGGTTATGTATGTTTTATTAATGGATTATGGGATTATTTATTAATCCCATACAAGCTTCAGCCCTGCCAAGTTTCATAGTCGCATTTACTATAGTGACCTCCTAACTCCTTCCGCTCTGGGTCCATTCTGAACCATGCGTCTTGTGGGCCAGACTGATCTTTTTCAAGCTGATCATTTTACTGCCTTACTTAATAGTAAATGAGTTTCCATTGCATTTAGACTAGCCTTCCCATCACAGTCATAGCTCAAGACTCCTGGTTAGCTGGCTAGTGCGTGCACACCTCCTGTTGTTCTTAGTTGCAGTGTTTCAGCCACATTGGCCTGTTTTCCTGTTTCACTACTTTTGTATTTTTTGTTTCCACTGTTTTTTCTTTCTCCTGCTCTTCAGTAGCTGATTGGTTCTTATATTTCCGGTCAGCGTCACTGTGTAACAGAGTTCTCCACTTTAGTTGCACTGAGTTCACTCTGGTATTGTCTTCATAGCAGTTCTTGTTGTATGAAAAGCAAACATGCATCTCTCCTTTCATTGGGAGGAGGGGCACGTGTTCCACAGTGTATATCCCAAGGTCAGAAGACAGCTTTCTGGATTTGATTCTTCCCTTCCACTATGGTTCCACAGCTCTAACTCAGATCATGAGGCTCTTGTGGCAAGTGATCTTACCTGTGACCTATCTTGCTGGACCCTTTTTAAAATTTGTTTGTATGTACTAGAAAATAAGCTTTAAGAGCCAGAGTGTGATATACACTAGAAAGTAAGCTTGAGAAGGGCAGAGTATGATATACACTAGAATGTAAGTTTTAAGAGGCCATGTATGTCTGAGTTCGAGGCCAGCCTGGTCTACAAAGTGAGTTCCAGGACAGCCAGGGAAAACTTGTCTCGGGGTGGGGAGGAAGCAGTGTGGTGTTTCAGCTGTTGGAATTCTAGTACCTGAAACTACGTGGCTGTGCTGCCGTGTATTGTAGTTATCAGCAAATGTGTATTATTATTGCAGGCATATTTATTCAGCAATACATTCATAATACAGAGTGCATATACATACTTCATAGCAGTGTTGAATTGTAATGGTGGGATTTGTTTGTTTGTTTGTTTGTTTGTTTAAATATATTTACAGAACTGCAAAGGATGTTCCTCAGAAGTGGTCTCCAGTAGTGACAGCACGACCAGTGATTTGTCTGTGAAGACCTTACAGTTAGTGTCAAATTAATTATTGTTTTTATTAATACTGATCCATTTGTAAAAGGAAGTTGACATCATTTATGTTTACAGTCTGAGGCTTTTTCAGCTGGGAATATGTATAAGAGTATTTGATGTTAAAATACTATTTTATCTAGAAAATTAGAGCTTTCTTTTTCTTCTGTTTAGTTGTTTTAATGGTTAAACATGTTTTCTTTCAGTTGGGTTTTTCTGTATGTCATATTTTCATTATAGGAAGGAGTCATTATTTAAAATTATTTTTTTTTTCAGTCCTGAAAACTGTCTAATTTAGAGGGGAAAAATAAAGTGAAATACCACCCTTTAACACCTCTCATTGATTAGTTCAGTTTTTTCAGATTTCGTATGCTGTTATCTTCTCTTTGATTATATATATTTTATGTCCTTTCATGAATTATTGAGATTTAATTATATATACCAAAATATGCAGCTTTTCATCAAAATTTTTTTCATGCAATGTATTTGATCATTTACTCCTTCCCCAACTCCTAGATCCTCCCTGCCCAACCAATATGTTCATTCCCTCAAGAGGGGGGAATAAAAGGAAACACAGAAATGAAAATTGGAACAAACAGGCAAAAGGCCAATCAGACAAAAAAAAAAAAAAAAAAAAGCCCAAACAAAACAAATCAAAAAGTCTACTGGATCTATATTGTGTTTGACAACCACTCCTAGACATGGGGCCTGCCCCTGGAGTGTAGTTAATATACCTAGTGAAACTTGATTGGAGAAAAAAAAATCTATTTTCTCTTTGCCAGCATGAAATATCCAGCTCTTAATTACACCGTTCAGTGAGTTTGACTAACAATAGATCCAAAACTTTAGTTAAAATACAGAACAGTACACTGGGTTTATAAGCATTTAGGAAGCTGATGCCGGAGGACAGTTATTCACAGAGCCTGGGCTACATGACTAAACCTTGGCTCAAAAGCTAGAAAAACTAAAAAACATAGCTTCACTCTATGGGGCTGCCCACCTGCTGCGCATGCTCAGTGTGCCTGGCCCCCTGGCCTGCACCACCGTGCCAGGAGCCACTTCTTCCCACTGTGAGGATAGATCTTGGCAGATATCCCTAAGAGTGGTCTGCCAAAGACAGGGCTTTGTAGTTCCCTCAAGTCTGCCTTTATTGCAGAAGGAACCATAAATACTATTTCTACCCCACAGGTCACTGTTCAGCTTAAGTAGTTCTTAAACTGTTGAATTTTAAGATCTGACAAATGATGTTAGATGAATAAGTTATAGAATCTCAAAACAATTAGTAGTTCCCTGTACTTTATTACTAAACCTCTATTTCAAATTTTATAATGTTAAGTGGAAATTTTTTACAAAGTAGAAAATTGCAAATTGTCAGTAACGGGTTTCAAGTGGAGGAAAACTTGGTTTATGACTCAAAAAAAGAATGTAAGTTTTAAAAGAAAACATAGGGGGCTAAACAATTTCAGAAGAATCTGTAGTTGTCACCCTCAAAGAATATATTATCACATTCCAGCTCTACTAGTAATATCAGGTCCTAAACAGTTGAGTGACCAAACTTTAAAAACTTTGAGGCTGTTTGGATTTACTGAGGTTGGACCATGTCCTATTTTCAGGAGGAACTGTCTACCTTGATTTTGTTTCCTCCAATGGGAGTTGATACCAGTTAAAAAAAAAAACCAGGCCCAGTTGTGTTTGGGCTTTCTGTGATAGGAATAAGGTGTCAGAATTTGGACTGGAATTGTGAAATGATACAAGCTCATAGCCTGGGAAAATGTTGAATTTGGGTTTGTTCGTTTTGACATAATTGCTAAGATTTCTGTTTTTCATTGTTATTCTTTAAGGCAAATTGCTCTTCAAGAAACTGACTGGCCATTCCAAACTGAAGATACATCAGGTAGAAAATCTAAAAATACTGATCGTTGTAGACAAGTATCCTAATGAAGTCTTCCCATTTTCTTCCTTTTAGACTTAAAAGGAAGGATTAAATCCTTAAAAGGATTATCTGTTACTGTGCTCAAACTCTTACATAGACTGATATAGGATTAAAATAATCCACCTAAAACATGAATGGTAGCTTATACCTATAATCCCAGCATCACTCAGGATGGTGAGTGTGTTAATTACTATTACCATGGTGAAACAGTGACCAAAAGCAACTTGGAGTAAGAGTTTATTTCTTTGTTGTTATGTTTTTCGAGACAGGGTTTCTCTGTGTAGCCTTGGCTGTCCCAGTCAGGCTTCGAACTCAAGAGATCTGCCTACCTCTGCCTCCCTCAGTGCTGGGATTACAGGCATGCACTATGGCACCTGTTTGGGTTTATTTCACTCATTGTTTATCATCAGGTCAGGAACTCAAACAGGGCGAGGAACCCGGATGCAAGAGCTAAAGCAGAGGCCATGGAGGGATGCTGCTTACTGGCTTGCTCCTCATGGCCTACTCGGCGTGCTTTCTTAAAGAACCCGGGGCCACCAACCCAGGGATGGCACCACCCAGAATGGACAGGGCTCTTCCACATCAATCACAGAAAATGCCTACAGGCTTATCTACAGCTGGATCATATGGAAGCATTTTTTTCAATTGCAGCTTCCTCCTCTCAGATGACTAGCCTGTGTCTAGTTGACATAAAGCTAGCCAGAACAATGAGATTATGAGGTTAAGAGTTCAAGGTCATCTGAGTACAGAGTTGGGATCCTATCATGAAAAATAAGTCTGTAAAGAGAATGTATTGGTTCTATCTATAAGCTGCAATCAACTATTGTGTGCTGTAGTATTTTACATAAATTGACTTAGTTAACGCTTTTGTAGTCTAGGAATGTAAGCTACTTTCTGTAGCCTCAGAGAAATAATGCATCTTGCCAGAAGTAATGGAAAGGTAGATTCACACGTAGAACACTTTGTAGTAAGCTTCACAAAAAGGGGTGAAATTTGAGTAAGCTGAACCAGACGAAAACCCTGCTGTTCCTATAAATACAGATATTTATTGGCCTAATAATTATGAAAGGCCTAGTAATTATTAGTTATCTAAGTCACCTTGAAAAAATAATTTAGCTTTGGTATACTTTAAAGTTCTCTGTGCTCACTGATTAAACAGAAAGGCTGTTCCCTTTTCTTTAAACCTTTGAACAAGAAGCACATAAAATCCCTTTTATAATTTATACATAATGACTATATATTTGCTTCTATCGGGGTATTGTTTTGTTCTTTTGAGGCAAGGTCTCGCTATGGAGACCTGTCTGAACTCAAAAAGATCTTCAGCCTTCTGAGTGCTGACACCAGACTTCAGTTCTTTATTTTATTTATTTATTTGTTTGTTTGTTTGAGACAGTGTCTCATTCTTTGTCCCAGACAGTCCTAGAGCTGCATGGCACAAGATAGATCTCCCTTGATCCTCCTGCATCTACCTCCCAAGTGTGAGCTACTTACTCATGGGCTTTTCATTCCAACAGTATTTTTAAAGGCTCATGGAAGCTATTGATTGTTCAATGATGAATAAATAGGGGTGATATTGAACTGTAGTTTTTTTATTTACTTATAGTAAGTATAGAGAAACTATTGAATAATTGATAAAACTTTGAATTCTAATATCCTTGGAATGCAAATTTCTGAAGCGTAATACTTTTTTTCGTTTGTTTTTTTAAATGTTCAGAGCCAAATCCTACTGTTCGTCTAGACACACTGGGGAGAAATTTTGATTCAGGTAAAGTCGAGTCTACTGATAGTGTCTCCTTACCTAGCACTGTATCTTCCCGTTGCCACTTAAGGAAAGATTTTAGTAATATAAGTCATTCCAGTGCTTTGGAGTGTGAAGCTAGTCAGTGGCTAGGACAGTCTTCGGAAGATAGAAGCAGCAGATGTGGAGACCCAACCATAATCCTGCATGAACTTGAAAATGTAGAACAAAATTTCTGTCTGTGGAACAAAGACCAGATTAACTTACCGCCTAGACTGACTTGCCCAGGAAAGACTGCTGAAACAAAAGAAGTCATTTTACCATCTAAACCTGAGCAAATGAAAAGCAAACATAAACATGCACGAAGAAGAAGAGCAAAGCAAAGAAGAGCCAGCCAGAGATGGAAATCAAAATTCTTATTGAGGTGTAAAGGCAAAAAAAGCAAAGATAAGCAGGCTTTTTGCCCTACAACAATAGATGGATCTATTGGTTCCAGTGACACTTATGATTTTAATGTGGAAGAGTGTGTTCACCTCACCCCTTTCCGACAAAAAATGAGCAGTGACTACAATGCAGAAACTAACAGCAGCAACAGGGAAGTGAGTGACTTTGAACTTAGTCACTCTGGGGCTGAGTCTGATGACCTTTACCTGCCCCCTTGCAAGCACGTGCAAGAAGACCATACCAGAGAGTCAGACAGACACATTACCAGGTCACGGTCTAAAAGAGGACTTAAGCACATGGAAGAAAAAGAGATGGAGGAGGTGCTGCCAACTAGAACTATTGGTAAGCAGTGTGCTTATTTGCCGGTGTTTTGAATGTTGTTGCTAAATCGTTGCCCCTGATGCTGATGTACTCTTAAATACTGTACCTACCATCTGTTATTCTGGGGGAGGCTAGAGACCTCCCCATCTGTCTCTCAGTAGGGGAAGTTATAGCCTGATTAAGTAGTAGGGATGGAAAATGGAAAAAAGGCTGTGTTCTAACCTACTTCAAAGCAAATGTGAATCTTACAGGAGCATTACTTCTCAAAAGAGGAGACTTCTGAGCAGGCTGAGGAGAGGACAGAATTGTTGTGATTGTATTGAATTAAAAGGTCTTTACACTTCTGATCACTTGGAAAATGAAAAACCTCATTTTATAATGGACTTGTTATATATTTAATTTACCGGGAACCATGACTGTTTTTCTGGTTGATGGTGAGCTTATGACAGCAGGAAGTTTGTTGTTATTGTTTTTGTTCTTTTCATATGACTGCTGAAAACTTTGGCTCAGAAACTCTTGCTTTTATTTTATCAAAGTGTTAGTCATCAGCCAGCACCTACTCACAAAGACTCCTTTGGGAGTGTTGATTCCTGTGGCATTAGCTCCATCCTGTCAGGTCCTATCTTCTTCAAAATGTCACATTGTAACAGCTCAGTCAACCTGTTTGATTTGTTTAACCTAAAACAATGAGTCAATTTTCCTAGTTGAACAGCTAGCTAGACAGTGTAACATGCAAGAATCTGTCTTTAAACTGTGTATCCTGGGTATTCCTTCCACTTTCAGTAGCTTTTTCTCATTTTCTTAATAAATGTGTTTGTTCTACTTTAAATAAGAATGAAAGTGTTGAAAAGAACAAAAAAAAAAAAAAAACAAAAAAAAAACAGTAGTTTGACCCCAAACTTCTACCAGCAACATTACCTGAAAACAGCCATAATTACAGATTCTGTCCCATCTCTTGTAGAATTTGTTTATCTTTGCAAGTTTCCCTGTGGGTTTATGTTACTATAGGAGATAGCGGCTAGTCTAATCCTATTTCTTGGAGGTAATCTACACTGTACTGGAATGGCTGTATATATTTCTTGTAACAGGAGGACAGACTGAAACTTAGATTCTCTATAGCCTGTGTCTGCTTAGCTTAAAATTGTCTCACAGTTATAATTTAATTTTTCAGTGTTTGCTTTTTGATTGAGTTGGAGATTTTCTTGCGGTGTTCTCACTATGCATAGGGTATCTGCCTCCCAATATAAATGAAGCTCTGAGGTAGGGGACCTGGATGTTTATGATATAAGAGGCATCTGGGTATCAGGGATAGGGGAGCCTGGATATTTATGGTAGGAGAGACATCTGAATCTCAACATGTTTATGGTGGGAGAAACATCTGAATTTTGTAACATTAGTACCAGTGGGAACACATTTTATCCTGGTCTTCAGGGACTGATTGAGAGATCTTGTATGTTTAATGGAGTTCTTATATGTTGAATGAAGGACCTTCGTAGTTACTTGGCCTCCAACAATGTTAGAAACATTGCTGTTAAATGAGACTGGGCCTTTGATGATTCTAAGTATTAAACTGTAACTAAAATGCAGTTTCATGCATTGAACCAACTAAGCTTTTAGGGAAGAATATTAAGTTTTAGTAAAACATTCTGTTGTAGCTAGCAGTCTGCCATAATTCCTATATTATCTGGCTTGAAAGGATAAAAAAAAAATATGAAGTTTTTAAAACACAAATCATGAAGTGCCAGGTATTGTGAATGGTTTTATTCCTGTGGTTTTTACTCCTTGGTCCCTATTCAATGGAAACCTGTATCATAGGTACCCCACCTGAGACTCAGGAGTCACCTCATTGTAGACTAAGGGATGTCACCAATGTCCTGCTGCAGCCTGTAGTGAAAATCGGGAAACTTTCTTTGTCTCCGGAAAAGAATGAAAATAGCCCAGCAGTACCTCTGCCTAAACGAAGGTGCGCCACCGTCACAAGCTATAAAGAGCCAACGCTGACTTCGTAAGTATTTTAGTTTGCACTCATCTATAATGACTTTGTGGTAGGATGGCAGACAGAGCTTTCCTCCTGAATGGACCATATTTGAGCACTGAAACTGGCATGTTTTTAGGATAATCCTGTCTTGAATTAATACTGGTGTATTTGAAATCATGCCTAAAATCTTTTTTTTTTTTTTTTTTTAACTTACAGGAAGCTAAGAAGAGGGGACCCTTTCACAGACTTGTGTTTCTTGAATTCTCCTATTTTCAAGCAGAAGAAGAATATGAGACGCCCTAAAAGAAGTATGAAGTAAACACAGTAACTCCTTCTGTTAGATGCTGAGGAAGGTGGTCCCGCTTTTTTGCAGAGGCTATGAGACAGCGTAATTTATCAAGATATGGGTCAGGAATGTCCCTTGAACCTATACTTTGTATTTGTGTGGATTGCTACCAATATCTAAAACTTCTCTGGCATCTTTTTTCCTTAAGTAGAATTACAGAGTGGAAAACTAAGATAGATGTAGATCTTTCATAAATTCTTAATATCACGGTAAGACATACCATAAGTAGGTGAGGATTCTTCTGCTATCATTGATTCTTCATGTAAATACATATGCTGTCATGATTAAGAGAATTGATGGTTTGTGTCCTGGGACAAAGTAACTGCTGTGAACGGTGAGTACACAGCCATTCCTCGGAAGAATCATAACATGTCAGACCAGCCCTTCATACTGTCAGTCTATTTCTGGTTTTGGTCAGAAAACTCAACCTTCATCTCTATGAATGTATTTCTTTAAAATCAAATCACTGTAAGTGGTCCCTTTTTAAAGGAATATGAAGTCTAATGGCAACCATTGTTTTCCTTCTTAACTGACAGGTAATCTTGATTATCTTCCTTTCTGGCCTTTAACACTCGCATCTTGGCTGTATCCTCTTCTGTTATCCCTGTCAACTTTCCCTTTTACTTCACATTACATTTGTCCTATCAGTTTTCCCAGCTGCACCCTCCAGGCCCAAGATCAACACATTTCAATTTGAGGCGCAGTAACAGACATATGAGCAAGGCCCAGGCATAAATCCCACTGTAAACAGGAGATTTCCAAATTAATCACAAAGGCCTTCTAGTATCTCCACAACTCCTACATTGACCGTCGGTCACACTGAGTGTGCTGCTCTGGCACTCGTGTGCATCCCACTCTCCCACCAGTCGTGTTTTCCCAGCCACCATTTTATAGGGCTGAGGGCAGAACCCAGGGCCCTGTGTGTAGGAGGAGCACAGCCACAGCAGTCCTTACCACCCTCTTCATCTTTTTCTCTCACGGTACCTTGAGAGTGACCATTTTTGCTAAGAATAAATACAATTAAGTCTAATTTCAGTCTCAGCGGGCCCCTGTGGCTATGATTACCATAGCACAGCCTGTTACTTGGTCTATAAATCCCCAGATATTAATTTTCTGGCCCTTTGTCAATAAATAAATAAATAGATTCCATAGCCTGGTGTGGTGGTGCATACCTATAATCTCAGAACTGTCCAACCTGAGGCAGGAGGATCTTGTTTAGACTAGCTGTGCTACATGATATCAGAAAGCCAAAAAATATTTTTCTATTTGCTGCTATAGACATTTCATTGTGTCCAATATGACTTTGATCCTCACTCACTCCAGCCCATTCACTATTATCTTGAAACTGCTGTTAAACCTGTAGTCTTTTTCATGTTTCCATGTTTTTGCTGTAGTGTTTATTCATGGACTATGAAGGGTTTTGTGTCAACATTATTATAAAATATGGACTGTATTATACATCTTGTATATACCATTTATAATTGAATTAAGAGTTTGAGACTTCCCATGTTGCTAGATAGGTTATTTTTGTTGTTGTATAATATATAAATAAACAAGACTTACTCCTCTTTTGAGAAAAGGTTGGTTGCCAATTTGATATTTTAAAAATTACAACGTCAGTTAATATTCTGTAGCTCTTCAGGGTCTTCTGTAAAGACCAGGCTCCTCAGCAGGGTATTTTATGATATTTAGCCAGGTCCTCCAGTTTACACGTATCCGCTGACACACCCTAGCCTCACATTAATCTCTTCCCTCTGAATTTCCTGGTATTCTATTCCTTCTGTATTAACAGTCTCAAAATGATAACAATTGACTGTCATAAGTTTATTACAACATAAAAGGTGTTAAGAGGAGCAATTCTGCAAGGAGGTACATGTAACCAAAAAAATGCTGGAAACTAAAATGTATCCCAGCTTTACATTTCTAGAAAAGATGGAGAGCTGTGGCTTGAAGGAGGATTCACTAGGTGTGCTACAGCCACATGGAAGCACTCAGTGGCTCTTGGCATCAAATAGTGTTCCGTAATCGATCCATAAGGAGTATCTGCCAGAGAAGTAGAGTATGTATGAGACCCTGGCTTCAGTACCCGACACCACATAAAAGTAAAACCAACATGAAGATGAAGTGTGTACTTTATAAATAAATAATAAAAGTAAATTAATAATAAACTGAGACCTAGAGAGGATGAGAGACAGTGAACACTGGGACTCAAGCCAGTACTTGCCACCAAGACTGATTACATGACGAATGGTTGAAGGAGAGATGCAACTCTTCAAAATTGTCCTCTGGCATACACAAATACTAAGGAAAAAGAGAAACTAACAAGAAGCCAAACTTGGTGGTTCCAGTTCATGTCTTAATTCCAGTATTCAAAAGCATGAGTCAGGAGGAAAAAGGTGTAGACAAGCTTACAACAGACAATACAGCTCTGTCTCAAAGATAAACATACTACCTATGGATGGTCACAAAGCATACAAATTTCATGGTCTCACGAAATCCAAGAACAGACAGGACTCCTCTATGGACTAAAAAGTGTCCTGGGGGAATTTATATCTGTCCCCTTTAGAGTCGTTGATACTGGGCTGGATGTGGACATCAAAGGCATTAAAGCATTAGGTCAGTGAGCCGGCAAAGCAGGTGAAGGTGCTTGCTGCCAAGCTTGTTCTCAAACCTTCCATAGGCTGTGACCTTTCAATACAGTTCCTCACGTTGTAATGACCTCAACCATGAAAGTGTTTTTGTTTCTACTTCACAACTGTAATTTTGCTACTGTTATGAATTATAATTAAATATCTTGTTATTTTCCAATGATCTTTGGGGGGTCGCAACTCAGAGGCTGAGAACCACTGCAGAAGCAGCTTCCATTTAAAGCCTTGAGAGGAACACCAAGGTGAGACTAGGAGATGGCCACCATGAAAAAGGGATGTTTGACAGGGAACATGTAAAATGACACTTGCCAAATCACTACACAGACTGCTTAATTCTGTCCCAGAGAGCTGAAAGGGTTGGCCTGGTTCAGTCTGTAAGACCTGGCCTACGGCAGTGGGCTCGTATGTTAACATACAGCTCACTCTGAGGAAGCATGAGTTTATTAGGTTTACTTACCGAGAGAGGCTAAGGGGCAAGAACGTGAGTACCTCTCAAGCAGCAGCACTGGGAAGGTCTGCACTCACTGTGGATCCTGGCTGCACAAGTGGAGGCCTTTCCACTAGCCTTCCCAGCTTATATAAGCTAGCACCTTCCAGAGACAATCCCCAGCAAGGTACGATTAGGGGAAAGTGGCCCACAGAAGGCTGGGAGGAGAGACTGAGTACTTAAGCAAGGAAGTAAGTCCTGTTGCGTCCCCATCTATGAGGGCATGTCAGCAGTCAACAAGCCCATGTCACGGACTCGCGGAAGCATGCAGCTAATCTGATAAAGATGACAGCTGTTTTCCTCACACAAAATGGAGTTGAGTTCTAGGATTACATTAAAGGTGACTTCCTTTGTAGTTTGTAGTTGCTCTTATCTCCTTCAAGGATCTTTCGCTTGCATTGTGACCCCTTCCTGCACACACAACCTGGAAACATTCACCTGCCTTTCTTCTAGTTTCCTATCTAGCTGTGATAAAACACCCTGACCAGAAGCTGCTGAGGAGAGCAAGGGCTTGTTCAGCTTACAATTCCAGGTTACAGCCCATCCCAAGAGGAAGTCAAGGCAGAAACCCAGACAGCTAAGTCACATCACATCCATAATTGAGAGCAAAGAAAAATGAGTGCACCCATGCTGCCCATCCTCTCTATTCTTACACCATCAGGGCTCAGCTCATCAACTGGTGCTGCGGACAATGGCTGCTGGGGTCTTCTCCACATCAACCAATCAAGACTACCATTTACAGACCAACCTCATCTAGAAGAGCCCTCAGTTGAGATTCAGATGATTCTAGTTTGTTGACATTTAAAACTAAGCATCAGGTCTGGAGAGAGATGGCTCAGGGCTGGAATTTCAGAGAATCCAGGTTCAATTCCCAGCACCAAGATGGAGGCTCACAACCATCTGTAACTCTAGTTCCCGGGGATATGATGCCTCCCTTACCTTCATGGGCACTACCTGCATGTGGTTCACAGACATACACGCAGGCCAGACACAATAGAATCTCATTTTAAAAAATGATAAAACCATCACACTTTAAATGCATCTTTTATCTCTTTTCCAACCAGGAACCCTAAAACTCAAGGAGTGGCAATGATTCTGGTTACTGCTGCCACCATGCACCCTCTGCACACACACTCTAACACACACACATAGGACTTTCCTCTTAGAGCCTCTGTGTTATACACACATCTGTAATCCTAGCACTTAAGAGCCTGAGGCATAAAGACTGAGTTTTAGGACAAGCAAATTAATTCTCAAGCAACCTAAATGTTCCAATCGATAAAAGATAACGTCAAACCAAATCTCATACCTTAAATAAGAACTTGCAACGTTTTTGATATTCTAGAGTCAACACGTTCTTTTTTTCTCTTAGATGTTTTTATTTGTCTAGAGGAGACTGGTTAACCTGTAGAGCTCAGAGCAATATGGAAAGGCCAAGGCCTGCAACCAGTTTTAGAATGTCTTAAGTTAAAGGGAGTGCTACTGTAAAGACCATCAGTTTCTAAACAGTTACAGATTGTCAACCTGTCCACACTACCTCAAGCTAATGTTTTTATCTGCTTCTTATGTTCTGTAATTGGAAAGGTGGAAAACCCAGTCATTACAACATAGTGTTATAATGTAGCCACTTTAGGTTTTTCTGTTTGCTTCTTTGCTTACTTGCTTGTTTGCTTGTTTCAAGACAGAATCTCTCTATGGAACCCTGGGCATCCTGGACCTCTCTATAGATCAGGCTGCCCTCAAACTTAGAGATCTTGTTTGCCGCTGCCTCCCAAGCACTGAGATTAAAGGTCTGTACCACCGCCTGGCTATATGTAGCTATTTTAAATTATTGGTTGAGTAATAGAAACTTGAGGTAGAGGGCATAAGATGGTTCAGTCAGTAAAAAGAAACTTGCTGCCAA